TTATCTTTACAAAATGACCCCTATCCTACATACCTCTTCTAGTGATCACTGCTGCTGCTATCCCATCAACGACTCCCTACGGACGGAAATGGAGAAGTTGAAAAACGAAGTGGAGATCCTAAAGTCCCAAGGACGGAAGAAAGACAGGCGAATTACTTTGTTGGTCGGCAAGGTGGAGGACTTGCAGAGGCAGATAAATATCTTGGATGAACAGCGAGTGAGTTCTAACATTTTTTATTTGGGTCATCCTTTGTCAACTCAATGAAATTGATAATCTCGTTTCTGAATTTTTGTGAGTAACATAAAATCTTGATTGGCAGTGACATTTTTTGTGATTTTTTTACAGCAATATCATAAATTTACAGATTAATTTTCAAAGAGCAATGCTAAGTCCAAATTGTACGTTTGAATCAGCATCGAAAAATGATCTAGAAAAACTCTCTTCATGACAAAATCACTTAATCTGTAAATTTTTGAGATTGCTGTAAAAATTCCACCAAAAATTTCACCGCCCATCAGGATTTTATACTACCCACAAAGAAATTCAGAAACGCAATTGTCAATTTCATTGAGTTTGACAAAGAATGACCCAATAATTTGATTATACTATGTGTAAGATCTTTAATTCAAACTAATTTAATCTTATTTGTCTTTTCAGTCAAACCAAGACCCCCCATCCCCGGTCCACCCTGATTGGGTGAATTTTCCCTTCAGTGGGGAGAGGAACTTCGAGTTTTATTATAGTTAAGATTATGCATTAGTGCAATAGTGACCCAGCTAAAAATGTCATATCGAAACGACGTCAAATCGACGTCGATATGGCATTTTTAGCTGGGGAGTCAGTTTGATATGTTAGTGTTATAGTTATATGTGTACCACTTTGTACTCATTAGAGAATTTAGTATAGTTAGAAGACCACTGTGAAAATGATGGTTGATAAGCAATCAGTTCTGTTCTTTACACCACTTCCATTTAGATCATCTTCTAAATGTGAAAATTGTAATAATTGCTTGCTTTTTTTTGTGTCTGGCAGCAATAGCTTTTTCATTTGTGTTTGTTAACTTTATTGTCTATTTCACCAGGGTGGATAGCAGAATAGTCTCTAGGTGAAGCTCCTTGCATTATCCTTGCATTACATGTAGTAAAATGCACTACTCCCTTCATTGCTTCCATTATTTTGTCTTTATGAGCGCTGACAGGCAGTTATGAATTTACATAGTTCTTGTGCTAAAAAGACCCCTAAGGATTAACATTTTAGAAAGATTTTAAAGTCCAACAAGTTATATTTTTTACCACCCTTCCATGGATTCTTCTCCGCGGTCCCGCCGGAATGGTCCTTTGCAGGTCTCCCCTTCCCCGTCGTTGCGGCGCACGTCCCTGCTGACGGCAGAGTCCGCAAACGGACTCACTCATCCGGTCTCAAGCCGCCCGGTGCGTCGTCTGGCGGGGTCTGAATTTTGTCATTTCCCGCGCATGACGCCCTGGCCCAGCTGGCAGTCAGCAGAGGCGATCTTGACAGCCGCCGTGGTCAACACCACCATCACCAGCGTCCCCGTCCTGGTCCTCGTGCAGCTCGTGCAGCGCACGCGCAGGAGGCAGGTGGATGGCGGCTCTGTCCTACTGAGGGCGGCGTCAACGACATTCTGATATCCGTCCTGGTCGGGCTGCCGGGCAGTGCCGGGCGTGTGCGGCATGCTCATCGTGTTTTTCCAGTGCGTCAGCACGGTGGCAAGGACAGGGATGGGGGATGGGATGGGGCTGTGCACAGTGAGCTTAGCACGCTCAGAGCGTCCTTCTAGTGGAGCGACGCGGCGCTCTGCGCCCCCTCCCTCTCGCAGTAAGTGCAGCTCGCGCGCCGACCGTCCTCTGCGCTGCTGGCCGACACCAAGGTCGACGGCTTGCTAGTGGTCCACGCGGCCGAGGCCGTGGCTGGCGCCCTCGGCACGCCCTCGCCTGACAACCAGGTCGTCGCCTGCTTTGGCACCCCTGCCCCTCTGGAGAGCGCACCGTCGTCGGCGACCTCGCCCTCTAGTTGGCCTTGGACCGGACACTACGCTGTGCGGAGCCGCTTTCCCCGCGGTGGGGGAGGCGCTGCCGCTGGTGCCTGCCGAGCACGCCCGGGCTGGTCCTCATAGTACCTGGCGTGCATCTCGCGGTGCGGGTGGCCGGGCCGGGCCGAGCCGAGGCCGCGGCGGACGCACGCCTGGTCTGTCACACAGTCGTCCCAAAAGCTGCCGTCTCTTGCCCTACCCTACCTTATTCGGCTGTTAGTAACAGTCAGAGGTCAGACTGCAAACCCAAGGCCGTAGTTCCGACTCGAGCGCGCCGCTCCGCTCCCACTACAACAAGTGCCTCTGGAAGCGTGGATAGCAATTCACAGGGCCGGTTCGCGTGTCCGAGACGAGGGGCGTCATCACGTCGGCTCGGCCTTCGCGATGTCCCTCGAGCTGTTGGACGCACGTGCGCGCGCCGCCCCGAAAGTCCCGAAGGGTGCCGCCAAGCTGCACGAAAGTTTCTCTCGAACTCCTGCCCTGCACCAAGATCAGAACCATCCACGCACATGCACTTCGCAAGCGTGTCGTTCGCACCGGGCAACGCCACTAAGCTGACCTGGTGCACCTGCGGGCGCGCCGCTCCTCACCAAGGCGAAGCAGACCTCAGTCTTCCCTAATCGATAGGGACCATGCGTAGGGCTGCGCGCGGACTGCACGCCGCCCCGCGGCGAGGATGGCTTTTCCCCTAACGAGGCCATGTCGCACTTACAAAGCGAGAATAGCCCGTAGAATAGTTTCCGTTTGGTCGACGCCTGGTGGCGGCTGCGGTCGCCCGGGCCTCCAAGGACTCGACGCTCGTCGTGCGACTACACACCAGGTCCAGGAGGCCCGCCGCCTCGCTGTGGCGAGTCTGCACCGCGCCGAAGCAGCAACCAGGTGCGCCGGCGCGCTCGCTGGCAGTGTAGGGCTCGACGGCGCGTGCGCGCACCGCCGCAAAACAGGCCGGCAACTAGGACGACCAACTATTTGGCACGCCTTCTAGATCAGCTTTTAAAAGGGGGTGAGGGGGAGGGGGGGGGGCAGGCCGCCGTTCTGGCCAAGCCCGTCAACTGGTCGAACCCACAGCCCTATAGCTCGGTCCGGGTGGCCCGGGCGCCCAGCCTTGGTTCCGGCCGGCCAGCCGGTCACCCTGGGTCGAGGACCTGCCAGGCCGGCCAGGCCTGAACCACAGCCACCGACATGGGGGCCGGGCGCCGGGGCTATCCTCGCCGTCGTTATCGTCAGCCCGACAGCCCCTACCTTCATTAAGGGTGCCAAAGCCCCCCGAGGCATCCCGGAGGACGTCATCGGGGTCCTCGGGGCGCGGCGCAGACTCGGTACAGACGGCGTCACCATTGAACGCCTTCAATTCGGTGGTCCTTTGGCGCGCCCAGTTCGGCTCCTCAAAAAGCAGAGCTCTCACGCCAGCGAATCTGCAGGAGATGGGTGCCGGGTGCCTGCGACACTCGGCGTAGGCCAGCCCGCAGTACATTGATGCATTGAGGGTAAGATATTGCCTACCCGCCAGGCGCCCTGACAACTGCTGCAGACTGGGTTTTGCAGTTTCTTCACTAGCGATCCACGGACGTAATTTATGGTTGATTCCCAAACGGAACCAGAGCCCGGAAAAACGCGCTGTCGCGGCTGCTCCGCTCACTCGCATTCTCGGCTCCCATCCGTCCCACACCTAAAGTCCTACGATCACAGAGGCAGTGGCCTTTCCTGCGAGGTGGCCAGGCCATCGGGTCAGACCAACCAACGAGGTTTTGGGTTCAGTTCGTAGCGTAAGTATTTATGAATGGGGGTCGCCCATAACGCTCGAGTGACCTCCCTCATTACAGACCAGCCCCCTCCGCCGCCCACCGCTGATATTGTGGTGATGCGATTCATAGAAACGACCCTAACGGGTTCGTTTAAAAAGTACAGACGGTCTGTTTAACAAATTGACCAGAGTTTTTCTGTGGTTTTCTCTGTTTGTTTTTTTTTTAAACAGTTAGGTTGGAAATGGGTGGTCAGGGGGCAGATGATTCCACCCCTACGATAGGGGTTGTTTGTGGGTAGCAACCCGCCCCGCTGTATCTCCCGCATTCATTTGTGCCCAAAGTCTGTTTTCACAAAATTTCAGCCCTCTGGCAGCGTGTAAAGGGCGTGAATTCAGACGGTTTCAATAAGGGCTGAACCGGCAAACGCTGTAGCGGCTTAAGGGGGTGCGCGAGGGCGCTTGGCTTTTCAGGGTGTCAGCCTGCACCCGGCATAAGGGACCAACACCCACCCCGTGACAGGCGCGGATTAAGGGGGGGGGGGGCGATCGCCCCCTTGTGGGCTCTAGAAAGCCGCCTGAAAGGTAGGCAAAATGCGTGACAAAATCCCTGTATGTAGGCAACCTGAAGTGCGCCGCCCCCCCTTCCAGCTGGGCCTTAATCCGCCACTGCCCCGTGAAGCAACCACCCCTTCATGGGGGGTGCCGAGAACACCAAAGGGGGTGGGTGAGCGCTGAGCGGATTCGTACCGACCGAGTACAGGCATTGGGCCATTTCTCCACCAAACGGCAACCCTCACCCACTTTGGCTGGAAATTGTGGCCAATTCCTAAAGTGGACCGCTAATTTTGACGGCCAGTAGTGTAGTTGGTCAGTACCATGTATCAGCACGTGCAATTTAATTACTAATACTATGTTTCCTTTCTTGGTCTGTGTCGCACGTTGTCGCATAGGAGTGGCACTGTGAGACCGTGGGGTGCACGAAAAAAACTGGCCTGCTGTCCGGGAGAGAGACCGTCCAGCAAATTCAGGAAAATATGAGCAGAAATTCTCCAAAAATTGATACCAATTGAATTGTGAATATAATTGTGAATATAAGTAAATGGTAACTAAATCATATTGAATCCTAAATTTTGCTTGACTGTCAATATCAAAAATTGTGGACTTCCCGAGGTACAGGACGTAACATACCAAATTTCATTGGAGCAAAGACTTTTAATTTTTCAATAATACTTACAAAGTAGTTGACAGATGACTTGCAACATGAGATCAAAATTTTGATGAAACACAAATAAGATTTAAGTTATGTATTGCTTTCAAGTCACAGCGATATGGGAATACATAAACAGTTTGATTTTAAATATATCAAAACAACTAAAAACTTAAGATTTGAGTTTACAAACACTTTTGTTCATAATGGAAACTTACTAAGATTAGAGGTATATATCGGTTACATGGCACAATACAGATTACAACAACTAAGCCTTCAGGAGCGAGTAGAGAAACAAGTTATCACAAAACCATAAAATAAGACACCTTTAAATTTTGGTTTAGAACCACAACTAGTGATATCATTTTATGAGTTCACAGCAAAGTCTCCCCTTAACGATTACATGATACAAAAAATATTGCACACCGTCTCAAAATTAGGACACTGTCAGGGTTTCCTTTTTTTTTCTTAAAAAAAAAAGGAACGCAAGAGTCATAGCTTTGATTGAGATCAAATCTTAATCCTAAGGAGTTTACACACACTTATAAAATTGTGTTTAAAATCAGAGATAACATTTATGTCATAAATAGGTCACATGAAACTGATGGACATTTAAATTGAAACAAATCAGGTGCAAGTTACAGAGATACAAAAGAACCCACAATCTTAAAATCACCCATTTTCAAGTAAAATACATATATAGATTAAGACAACCAACCCTCTCAAAATTTTGTTGAAGGGGGTAGGGGATATATAGGGTTCACACTTCAAGATTACATGACACATTTTAGATTAAAAAAACCAACAAAGCCGGTGGTGTAACTTAACAGGAATAAAAAAATGTCATAACCACAAGATAAGACACTATCAAATTTTGGTTTAAAAACTCATTAAGTCAAATAATTTTTTTAAATTTAAAGCTAAACAAAAGTACATTCTAGAAGAATACAAGTCGGAGCTACTGCTTGGCTTTTGATAAAATGTTTCTAATTTTATGATATATCTTCGACGATGTTCTCTTGGCCAATCTTGGCTCTTTTGCCTTCACTGTTGAGATCTCTTCCATTCCTGGTTGGATGCCTTTTCGGATAAGACTGCCGAAATGCTTGTCTATTGCCTCTGACTCCTCTGCTAACCATGGTTCTCTCCCTTGCATGTTCCTTTGCTTGCTTGGAGTAGCTTTTGGTCTTAAGGGTTCCAGGGGTTCTACTTCTTCATCGGTGGTATCATCTTCTACATTACTGGCTTTCCGTCTCTTCCTTTTTGTGCCAGAGGTTTTACTTGTTGGTTGATCTGTTATTTCTTCAGTGATGTCTTCAGAATTTTCTTCTACATTAACTTCCTCGTCAATATTTATATCATTGACATTAATCTGCAGTTCTGCAAGCGTCTTCCCCTCCTGCAGCTGCAGCTTTCCCTCGTCCAACAGAGAAAAAACTTTTGATAAACGGGCAAGCTGTATCGCATCATCACTTAATCTGTAAAATTGTCTGTGGACATTGATGTCGTGCCCCATGAACTTAGCGAGGACGTCAAGTTCATGTTCGTTCAGGGCCAGCAGCTGACAGGTGGTTGCCACGTTCTTTCTCAATTGGGTGGCCCTGAGCGATAGGGGGTCCTCCGCCCCGCACGACTCAGCGGCCTCTCTAATCACCACATCTGCTCTTATCGTGTTGACCTTGGTCCCTGCCACTGCGAATACATGCGGATTCTCCGCTATAATTCCGCACTGCAATCGATGTTTAATTAGAAGGGTTGTCGCTTCATAGGATAGCGGATTGAATAGGAGTGGGACCACCCTGTCCTTTTTTCCAGGTAAATTTATCATTTTTAGGGATGATGCATGTAACTTCTCAGCTTGGGAGAACACTTTCATCAGTTCTGGGTCTGTCGTCGACACGTCACAAATTCTTTGAGCGTCCTTAACCAGCAGGCGCGCAGTTTCCCCTGGACGCCTCCGGTTGTATGTTACTAAGTAAGCTACAGTTACTTTCGCCAAATTGTTCCAGTGCAGAGCATGCGTTGGGTCCGCTTTGAGCATTTCCATTTTTTGCTTAATCTGTTCCTTCAGATAAGCGTACAGCTTCTGGATGTCAGCAGCTAATGGTGCCCTCTTTGGTGCCCGGAATTTCCTGTTCCTTAAGGTGCGGTGAGCCTTCTTGGCAATATGCCGTCTGAAGTCACCTCGCAAAAGTCTCTTCATGTAATCGTAACGCTGCAGCTGCTGGCTGTTGCAGTTAATTAACGCAGAGGTCTCCAGAACGTTTAAAAGAATGGCCACATTGCCCCCCAAACGGAGCGCCAAAGAGGGTGTTGTGAAAGAATTATCATCGGGATTAAAACCGCTGGCACTGCAGACAGATTCTTTCAAGAGAGTCCAATTGTGGGGGTCCAGGAGGTCTTCTAGGGTCTTAATTTTAGGGGCGATTTTACGTGCCTCCAAAAGCATGCGCCCCAAGTCCCGCAGTTTGGACGACACCGAGTTTCGGAGATGGGGCTTGTCACTGTATTCAGAGAAGAGGCTTGCTCCATACATAAGAATGGTTTTGTCACCTTCAACCGTCTTTCGTATATCATCATTTTTCATCTTTTGGATAACATTCAAGGTAAAGGCGTCCATGTCCCCCTTCTTTAATTGGGCAAACGTCAAATACTGCATGTGAGTGCCTCGGAGGTGCCCCTCATTTTTGAGAACCGGACACCTCTTCCGGTGATTGTACAGGTTCGTTTTTACGACCCCAACTTTGCAGCCCGGGCAGACAGCAAGTTTGGATGGGTCGTACGAGGAGACTGCCCTTGACTTTGTAGCGTAAACACCGGCATTAGGGTTGTCGCAATCATGCTTACGATTGCCCATGTTCCGAAGTAGAGTAAAGAGCCGCTGGCGCTCATCAGCCAGTTCAACGTTTTCTTTAGGCGGAATCTCTTTCACTTCTAGCTTATCTTGGTGGACAGTCTCCAAGTGCCTGGCAATCTTTTGCAAACCTATTCCACAGAAATAACAATAGTTCAGTTTCTTCTCTCCTCCACTTTCCTTTGGGTCCTCTTGGGGTGGCTCAGCAACGGCTGACGGCTCTTCTTCCCCATGTTTTTCATTCGATGGATGTGGTCCATGTCCAAAGGCCTGGGCAGTGTCTTGATCGAGTCCCAGTCTATTGTCAGACGCTTCTCCTTCGGAGCACTCCGATGATGAAGCGCTGTCGAGTGGGCTCCACGACTCCTCACTCAGGCTGAAATCACTAGCAGTGCCGAGATCAACTAGTTGAACCTTGGCCCTGCACTGGCGATACCTCTCAGTTCCTTCAAACAAAGAAAAGTAAAATATTAGTCAAACGTCTTATTTAATGCCTCTTAGGGCAGCACCCACCGAACCTGATCAAAAAGCGTCGCCTACGTGCATCTGCATCACTCACTAGTGCACGCTAAATTCTTGTGCACTTTTTTTGTACACTGTTAAACTAAGTGTTCAACTGTTCAACACTTCCAAGTGTTCAACTACTAGATAAACACTTCCAAGTGCTCAACACGACAGTTAAGCACTTGCAAGTGTTCAACCAGACAGTTGTGCACTTCTAAGTGTTCAACCAGGCAGTTGTGCACTTCTGTGTTCAACACTTAGAAGTGCACAACTGTCTGGTTGAACACGTAGAAGTGCACAACTGTCTAGTTGAACACTTGCAAGTGCTCAACTGTCGTGTTGAGCACTTGGAAGTGTTTATCTAGTAGTTGAACACTTGGAAGTGTTGAACAGTTGAACACTTAGTTTAACAGTGTAGGATGGTTGCCACAACTTCTCATTTTTCTGGGTGTGGGGCACTGATAAAAAAAACCACATAAAAAACCACAGAAAAACTCTGGTCAATTTCATACCCAGAGCTTCTGTACTTTTACTGTGGTGTATCACAGAAAAAGTACAGAAAATTCTGTATTTTTTTGTGTCTTTCACAGAAAAAGTTCAGAGAAGTCTTTACTTTTCTAGACTTTTCTGTGGTTTTCACTGGATCAGCACAGAAAAGTCTGTGCTCTTTCTGTGAAAACCACAGAAAGGTACAGACACTTCTGTACTTTTTCTGTGCTAAACCACAGAATTTTTTACAGTGGGGTCCGGGGGCCCGGGGGCCCGGGGGCCCGGGCAGAGTGACCACAAGTCAGGGAAATGTCAGAGAGTTGCAAGGGGCGTCAGCTCATTTCATTGCACTCAAATTGATCAAGAACCACACTGTAATTTGGGATGCGATACACACAACAGCTCTTGTGCGATAATAATATCATCGCGAAGTAAAATCATGTTTATTGCAATTTAAAGCGATAAATCCAGTATCGCATTCTAATGCAATGATCATCGCATTGTTTTGCGATAAATTTTGTATTGCTCATTATTGTCATGATCATTGCAACAGAATGCGATAACATTTGTATCGCTTATAATTGCAATAATCACATTTTAATACATCTTGATAAAAAATGTAAATTGAGACACCTTTTCAATGTTCAATGCACAGTTCATACACTGTTAATCTAAGTGTTCAACTGTTCAACACTTGCTAGTGTTCAACTACTAGATAAACACTTGCAAGTGCTCAACACGACAGTTGAGCACTTGCAAGTGTCCAACCTGCCAGTTGTGCACTTCTAAGTGTTCAACCGGCCAGTTTGTTGAACACTTAGAAGTGCACAACTGGCCGGTTGAACACTCTGCAAACCCAAGTGTAGAACAAGTCTACAGTTTAAACTGTAGAACAAAAAAGTTCTACACCGGAAAGTGCAACTTCCTGACCAGGTTTAAAAACATACTTTCTGAGTGCACCATCACCTTCGTCTTCAAATTCTCTTTCAAACGAGTATAATAATGATAGGGTTGCGACTCAAATTGAAGCAGGTAGGAGTCATTACATAAATTTGTATTCTTTTGCGTACCTTTTTCAATTTAAGTCGCAACCCTATCATTATTATACTCGTTTGAAAGAGAATCTGAAGACGAAGGTGATGGTGCACTCAGAAAGTATGTTTTTAAACCTGGTCAGGAAGTTGCACTTTCCGGTGTAGAACTTTTTTGTTTTACAGTTTAAACTGTAGAGTTGTTCTACACTTAGGTTTGCAGAGCACTTAGAAGTGCACAACTGGCCGGTTGAACACTTGCAAGTGCTCAACTGTCGTGTTGAGCACTTGCAAGTGTTTATTTAGTAGTTGAACACTTGTAAAGTGTTGAACAGTTGAACACTTAGTTTAACAGTGTACGTGTTTACCAAGCAGGTACCTTTATTTAACATGAAAACGCAGGTCTAAATGAGATTAGGCAATAAAAAGGGTAAAACAAAATCTTGCGATACAAATTTTATCGCACATCAGAGATAAGAAATTATCGCTTGCCAGCATGCGATGAATCCTGGGAATCGCATTCCCCATTTATTGCATTCATTAGTGTGAAAAGTATCGCATTCCAGTTTACAGTGCATTTGGCACTTGGTGCGAAGGCCTCAGGCACTTGATTCAATCCCGCGGGTCTCGATCGAAGCACTGTAAAATTCTTACAAAGAGCGGCCTTCATATTACGAAGAATTTGCTTCGTAACGTACAAAGGATCTGGAACCACCGTATTACGAAGGATTTTTCTTCATATTACGACCCCCCTCCCCCCCCCTGTCAGCCCCCAAATCCGCCTGTATGTAGACAATATGTGGTGCAAAACCCCTGTATATAGGCAACCCCCCTCCCCCGTCAGCTTAACCGCCCCTCTCGTCAGCTCGAGTTAAAACCGCGCCTGATTGTTGGGAACGGTCTTGAACTATCCACTGTTAAATTCTTACGAAGAACTGATCTTTGTATTGCAAAGAATTTTGAAGCTTTGTAAGAATGTTCGCATTGCGAACTATTTTCTTTGCATTGCGAACTATTTCTTGCAAACAGTTAGTTCGTAAGAAATAGTTCGTAATGCAAAGAAAATAGTTTGCAATGCAAAGATAATAGTTCGTAATGCAAAGAAAATAGTTTGCAATGCAAAGATAATAGTTTGCAATGCGAACATTCTTACACAGCTTCAAAATTCTTTGCAAGCAATTTAACTGTGTCGATTCCTAAAGCAATGAAGTTTGGGATAGACATACCATCACCTCGACAAGTTTCCATTCGATTTACAAATAAGTATGTCCCCTCGCATGACTTCGTAGAGAGTCGAGCAGCGCCGACGGGGCCGCGCGCGGTGTTCGCAAATCTGAATGCGAATAAGACTGCGCGAACCGTGCCGTCACTCTCAAGTGCGATAACTTTCATACAATGTGATGCGATAAAAGCTCAAAAGCGATTCCCACACTCTAAAAAAAATACTAAATTTCGTTTTAAAATTATGGCGCGACTTCCTACCAAAGGTCCAAACTATTTCAATGATGTACATTAAACTGTTTAAAAATCATGGTTTGTTAAGTTTTCCGAATGTACTAGGTTCCTAAGGTATGATTTTTAGTTCTAGTAGCCTTGAGTTTCATTGACTTGCACTGCAAATCCAAGTGTACGAATGTCGCTCACCTGCAGGTGAGCGAATATATTCGCTCACCTACAAGTGAGCAAATGGATTTTCACACACTTGCAAGTGAGCGAATGTATATTCACACACTTGTAGGTGAGCGAATGTCCATTCGTACACTTGGAAAAGACGGCTTTTCGTGTACCCCAAGTGTACGAATGGCAATTCGCTCACCTGCAGGTGAGCGGAGCGACATTCGTACACTTGGATTTGCAGTGTGTTTTTAGCTATAATACCAAGATATACTGTAGTGAGTGTACGCGTACTGGCGCAGTACCGCGCAGTACCGCGCAGTACCGCGTACAAGGTGGATATATATCTACCTTGCTGGATATATATCCACCTTGACCGCACAGTATCGCGCGATGTACCGCGCAGTGCTTCGCAATACCGCGCAGTTCCGCAGTCCGGTGTACACTCAAAATTCGAGTGGTGGACCCCTCGGGCTAGACTCGGCTCGCGCCGGCTGGCTCCACACTCTCAGATCCTGTATGGAGGTTTTTGTTTGTTGGCTATCAACGTATTTGTGCAATGATAGTTAAAAACAAAATTGTTGACTTGTATCAACAAATTTGTTGGATAGTTATCAACAAAAAAAATTTGTTTATAAGAAAGATTGATAACTATCAAGACTTTTGTACCGAGTTAGTGAGAAATTCGTTTATACTTATCATTGC